AACTTTTTGACTCTCTGGTGCAAGTTGTAAGTGAAAAAGCATCACTAAATTGTGATTATCACAAATATCATCATTATTTATTAAACAAGGCTAAGGAAAAGTGGACTGAAGACCAAAGAATAGCCCAACAAAGATTATTGGCTGAACAAGAAAGGGAATCAAAGAAGACTTGTCGATTCTGTGGATGCACTAAAAGGATAATTAAAATCCGTAACAAGAAAGTGAAAGGAGTTAAAAGAAAATTTTTGTACAATCGGTGTAGATTCTGTAGTAAATTAACATTACTCAACAAACAGGGTATCAGCTTATCAAAAATACCAGAAATCGAAGAAACTCAACCTGTGATTACAAAGAAAGAGGATCCTAAAATAACACCGAAAAAGGTTGAAAAATTTAACAATGACAATACAATTAAAGAGCTAAATTACTTACTTAAAGGTGGTAAAGGAGGAAACAAATTAGACGTGAATCAACTACAGAAAAGTAAATTAATGGATCTTTTAATGTAAATTACCAATTTATTTCTAAGATTGAGGCTTTATTTGTATTTTTTATTCCAAAATGCCTTCATTTTTTGAAATTGTAAGCCATCAATCCTATTAAAATATGGCAAAGCGTTTTGTGTTCTGTTGCGTGTGTTGCTTTGATAAAAACAGTCACTAATAATCGAAGAGTGGCAAGTATATTTAATTTATTGTATCAGTTATTGAATATAAAACACATAAATTATGAAAAATTCTCAATCTTTATGCATATAGAACATAAAATTATAAAATAAAATGAGCGAATTAACTTTTCTGAGCAAGGTATATAAAGCGTACAAGGGCGATGAACATTCAAAATTTTAGAAATACTTTCATCTTTTGATGAGACATCATTCTGTTATGATAAAGGATTAAATCAAGGAATGATTTTATTGAATAAAGCTTGTATTTTACTAAATTATTTGTCCTTTATGAATAGATAAATTAATCACTTGATAAATGACATCAAGTGAACATTAGCCATGAGTTCGTGGATAGTAAGTTTTTAAAGAGAAAGGATTTCCAGAGTACGGGTTGCGTTTGCACTTTGCAGTTATGTACGGCTGTATGTTACAACTATAGTTAGCTCTGTGTGCTGCCATAACTCGTCCGGTAGATGTTGGAATATATGCTGCTCTGAGAATCGCTTTAAATTTTGCCAGCAATGCAGCGTTTTTCATGATTTTTATTCGTCGATTCAACAT